GTGAAAAATTGATGAATGAAGAGAGAAAACACTAAGATGAGCCTACATACACACATGGGAGTGAAGCGCAACACATAGGAAGGTAGGAAAGGACAGAACAAGGCTACTACACTACTCAAACACAAGGAAAACACAAAAATTGAAGTAGCAATTTACAACCAAGTGGAAGACTAAGTGAAAATTTGATGAATGAAGAAAGAACACACTAAGATGAGCCTGCATACACACATGGGAGTGAAGCGCAACACATGGGAGGGTAGGAATGGACAAAACAAAGCTACTACACTACTCAAACACAAGGAAACACAAGAATTGAAGTAGCGATTTACAACCAAGTGGAAAAATGGGTAGGAGAGAGAGATTAGGAGAGAAAAAGACAAAGTTTTAGCTCAGCAACACAAGGGGATGGATTGCGGTTCACAAGGGGGGGCTAGAATGGACAAAACAAGCATGAATCAACACTCAAACACTACACATCATCAAGATATGAGTTGCGATTTGCAACCAAGTGGAGAGATGAGTAGGAGGGAGAGATTATGAGAGAAAAAGACAAAGTTTTAGCTGAACAACACAAAGGGAAGTATTGCGATTCAAAAGCAGGGGCTAGAATGGACAAAACAAACATGAATCAAGACTCAAACACTACGCATCATCAAGATATGAGTTGCGATTTGCAACCAAGTGGAGAGATGAGTAGGAGGGAGAGATTAGGAGGGAAAAAGACAAAGTTTTAACTCAACAACACAAGGGGAAGTATTGCGATTCACAAGGAGAGGCTAGAATGGACAAAACAAACATGAATCAACACTCAAACACTACACATCATCAAGATATGAGTTGCGATTTGCAACCAAGTGGAGAGATGAGTTGGAGAGAAAGATTAGGAGAGAAAAAGACACAGATTTAGCTCAACAACACAAGGGGAAGGAGTAGGAAGAAGAGGAGATAGGATGGGGAGAGGGAGAGGAAGATGGAGGGGAAGGAGAAGAAGAAGAAGAAGAGGAGGGAGAAAAGGAAGAAAAAAAAAAAAAAAAAAAAAAAAAAA